GCGATGACTCTGCGGATCCCTAAATGTGCCGATGTCTGTTGGCATCATTGCTGTGATGTTCGGGCTGAAGAAAGCTTTTGAAGCTCCCGAACGATTGACCAGGAGGGAGAGAACATGCCAGTCGGGCATGTGTCTCTGCCAGGGTCCTACTTGAGTGTAGGATAAGCTCCTGACAGTTTGCAATGAAACTTTAGGGGAAATGTGAAGGAATGTATTTCAGGACTGGAGAATCTTTAGCCCTCCAGAAGTTGTTGGACTACAATAATTCCTAACCATTGGCTAGGGCTGTTAAAAATTGAACAACACCACGAGAGCCATAGGTTCTGCAGGCCTGGTGTATTTCAGCTTAATTGATTTTTTCTGTTGCTATGAGGCTTTGATTATTTCTTGCATCTGGTTCTCCTGGTTTGGTTTTGTTTCATAAAACATTAAGAATAAAGTTACCTTATCCTATTCGTCTAAGAACAAGGTAGTTACTTTTGCATCCAGAGACAATTTTTTGCTTTTTGCAAGTGTGCAATTACCCAGAAATAGAAATGTTGATCGTTGGTCATTTGCACTTCAAAGTCCAAACTGATGGATCGGATCTGACTGTGCAGCTGAGCAATTTCATAATGCGGCAAACTCACAGTCCTTGGTGCCATCTGACACTAATGGTGAAGCATTGATCAAACATACGCTCCTTAGACTGATTGTTTTCAGCCTGCCTGTCAGATGCAGATTCCGTTGCTTATAGTCAAGTTCTACAAGAATGCCACAAGCTTACTCTAGTATTTCCCTACAAAGTTTTGCTTTAAAAGCTCGGTGGGACGCGGGTGGTGCTATGGGTTAAACCACAGAGCCTAGGACTTGCCGATCAGAAGGTGGGTGGTTCGAATCCCTGCGACGGGGTGAGCTCCCATTGTGCGGTCCCAGCTCCTGCTAACCTAGCAGTTCGAAAGCATGTCAAAGTGCAAGTAGATAAATAGGTACCGCTCCGGCGGGAAGGTAAACGGCGTTTCCGTGCTTCTCTGGTTCACCAGAAGCGGCTTAGTCATGCTGGCCACATGACCCGGAAGCTGTACGCCGGCTCCCTCGGCCAGTAAAGCGAGATGAGCTCCGCAACCCCAGAGTCGTCCGCGACTGGACCTAACGGTCAGGGGTCCCTTTACCTTAATCTTCATAAGGGTGACCACCCTTCCCCTTGCATACTTCTACCTATACTCAGCATAGGAAACCAGCCATACGAACAACCCATGTTGATGCTCATCAGTCCATACCAGCCAGATCAGCAGAGGTTGAAGCTCTCCACTAACCTGAGTTTTGTGAATCCCTAGTACAGTGGTACCTCGGGTTAAGAACTTAATTCGTTCTGGAGGTCTGTTCTTAACCTGAAACTGTTCTTAACCTGAGGTACCACTTTAGCTAATGGGGCCTTCCGCTGCCACCCTGCCACCGCTGCACAATTTCTGTTCTCATCCTGAAGCAAAGTTCTTAACCCAAGGTACTATTTCTGGGTTAGTGGAGTCTGTAACCTGAAGCGTCTGTAACCTGAAGCATATGTAACCCGAGGTACCACTGTAGTGAAACAAGGCGCACCTGATCCTTGATGTTAGCCCAAAGGAGGTCCAGGCTGGATGTTTTTACAGCATATCAGCAACATATCTAATCTGTGTGACCTTCTTCTTCCCTTAACTCAGACCCTCCAAATATCCCTATTTTCCAGGGACCATTCCAGATATACAGAAGCCTTCCCGGTTTCTGATTTGATCCTGGAATGTCCCACTTTTCCTTAGGACATCCCTATTCTCACTGGAGAAATGTTGGAGGGTATGCTAACTGTGCTATTATCAGGGCCGTCTTAAACATATCGAGCGCCGTGGTGCAAAGATCCCTCTGGTGCCGCCGCCCACCCCCCGTTTCCCAGAGTTGCTGACCTTTTTTAGGGAGGACGGCGCTGCCGGCGACATGCCCAGCTTTGTGGGGCTGGAGGAGGCCGGCAGCTGCTGGACGGCAGCTCCTCCAGTGGGGAAGAGGTGGAGGCTGGATGCGGCGGCTCCTGGCTCAGCTGGCTGCTTCTTGCCATGGTGGCCACGGCAGGCGGAGGCACTGGCGCAGCAAGGGCGGTGAGCTGATGCTGGGAGGCGCCACATCCAGCCTCCGCCTCTTCCCTGGCACCCTCCAGAACTTGGTGCCATGGCGCCCCACACCACTAGCCTCTATGGGTAAGACGCCCCTGGCTATTATTTCCTCCAGTGCATCCCTAACCTATGCTAGCATTACTCCCTTCCATTTTTCTTTTTTATTTGTCTGTTTCCTCCATTGCTGTCCATCTACATAATAGCTGAAAAAGGTAAAGGTAAAGGGACCCCTGACCATTAGGTCCAGTCGTGACCGACTCTGGGGTTGCGGCGCTCATCTCGCTTTACTGGCCAAGGGAGGTAACGTACAGCTTCCAGGTCATGTGGCCAGCATGACTAAGCCACTTCTGGCGAATCAGCGCACGGAAACGCCGTTTACCTTCCCGCCGGAGCGGTACCTATTTATCTACTTGCACTTCATGCTTTTGAACTGCTAGGTTGGCAGGAGCAGGGACCGAGCAAGGGAGCTCACCCTGTCGTGGGGATTCGAACCGCCGACCTTCTGATCGGCAAGTCCTAGGCTCTGTGGTTTAACCTACTCCTAGCCAAAGTGACCAGGTGATGGGCCTGAAGAAAGAAGGGAAGCACGTTAACATTGCTAGGCTGTTGCAAAGCCATCTGTCTCTGGGAGAACCTTGTTTCTTCCTGCCTTGGGTGCAGAGCCAAGACCAAACGTCCCACTTGCCCAATGGTATCCTCGTCATTCACTCTTTGGGGTACTGCACAGGCCTAATTCAGCCTCTGCCAATTAACACTGCACAAATGCAAAACAAGTGTCTCTTCTTTCCAGCCCCATCTTTAATCAGAAAATTTTCTTGAATTATGGCCCTGAGATCTAATTTTTCATTTTTACTTACTGTAGCGCTCCTTTCTTGTGACTATGATAAGTGATGAGTGATTAGGATAAGTGATGATTACAGCTTCGCTAAAGTTACTCTTTTTACATCTGTGGTGTGGCTGAATGAGAGAAGACAGGCACATCAATTATACTGAAGATTTCATTTCCACTGTCATCACTGACCAAGATATTGCCGTGCACACCCACACGCACACCCACACCCTTCTTCCTTCCCATTAAGGCCAAATTCTGGGTCAAGCTGACTTTCTAGTTTGATCTTGCAATTGCAAACCTCAAATACGGCTTTGCCATCATTAGGTGTAATGTGGCAGCAAGAGGGGAACACTTTTTATTCTATTGCGGCCTGACTTTCCCTTTTAGAAATCAAAAGTGCCATTTAACCTCACAGTAGAAAATAACATTTTTGTTGAGGCAAGCCTTTGGCCCTTGAGATAAGCTTATAGGGTTGTATTCACCCAAGTCCTACTCAGAGCAGACCCACCAAAATTAATGATCCCAACTTAGTCATGTCTATTAACCCAAGCTGCTTTATTTTAGTAATGTTCTACCTGCCTCCTTCTAATGTTTTTACTTTCTTTCTTTTGCTCTTTATTGTATTTTACTACATTTGTATTGCTGTCAGCTGCCTTCAACACCATTTGGTGGAAAGGTGAGATATAAATTTTAAAAAGAAAAGAATAATGACCCTCAAGTGAAAGCTGGACCATAAAGAAGGCTGATCGACGAAGAATTGATGCTTTTGAATTATGGTGCTGGAGGAGACTCTTGAGAGTCCCATGGACTGCAAGAAGATCAAACCTCTCCATTCTGAAGGAAATCAGCCCTGAGTGCTCACTGGAAGGACAGATCCTGAAGTTGAGGCTCCAATACTTTGGCCACATCATGAGAAGAGAAGACTCCCTGGAAAAGACCCTGATGTTGGGAAGGATTGAGGGCACAAGGAGAAGGGGACGACAGAGGACGAGATGGTTGGATAGTGTTCTCGAAGCTACCAGCATGAGTTTGACCAAACTGCGGGAGGCAGTGGAAGACAGAAGTGCCTAGCGTGCTCTGGTCCATGGGGTCACGAAGAGTCGGACACGACTAAACGACTAAACAACAACAACAACAAAGCAACGGGGATGCGGGTGGCACTGTGGTCTAAACCACTGAGCCTAGGGCCTGCCGATCAAGAAGGTTGGCAATTCGAATCCCCGCGATGGGGTGAGCTCCTGTTACTCGGTCCCTGCTCCTGCCAACCTAGCAGTTCGAAAGCACTTCAAAGTGCAAGTAGATAAATACCGGTAGGTACTGCTCCAGCGGGAAGGTAAACGGCGTTTCCGTGCACTGCTCTGGTTCGCCAGAAGTGGCTTAGTCATGCTGGCCACATGACCCGGAAAAACTGTCTGTGGACAAACGTTGGCTCCTTCGGCCAGTAAAGCGAGATGAGCACCGCAACCCCAGAGTCGTTCGCAACTGGACCTAAGGGTCAGAGATCCCTTTACCTTTACCTTTTTAAGGCATGTTAAGCTGGTCAGGCAGGTGCCCGGGGACACTGAATAAGTTCAGTGATTGTGCAGGAACTAATCACAATAATTAGCACTTGTATGCTGCTTTAGAATGTTGTCATTTCCCATATATTACCTCATCCTTACAACAAGCCTGCAAGATTTGTCTGCGCTATAACACAGGTGTGCGGTGAGCTGAGACTGCAAGAATAGTCTCAAGAACTGCAGCACAATTTCATAAATGTCTGAGTGGAAATCGCACTTAGTTCAATGGCGCTTATTTCCAGGTAAGCGAGTAGAGAGGATTACAACTTTAGTGAATTAATGGTTGAGGCAAAATTTGAAACAGAAGCTTCCCAGTTTCACATTCTTAGCTACTGCATTGCAATGACCTTCATATATCTCAGAGCATGGCTATCTTACACCCAAACTGACCAGTCCTGTGCTCCATTGGTCATAGAATCATAGAACTGTAGAGCTGGGAGAGACCAAGAGGGTCATCTAATCAAATCTACTGCAATGCAGGAATCTTTTTGTCCTATGTGAGGCTCGAACCCACGACAGTGAGATTAAGAGTCTCATGCTCTACTGAGTGAGTTATGTCTATGTGAATCGTTTCCTAGCGCTTCATAGGTCCTCTTTCAGCCCAGATCAATTCCACAGGCAGTGAGCTGCACATTAAAATGGAAGCTTATTTTGCCAGAGAAACCAGTAGCTGCAGAACGATAGAAAGCAAAGCGAGCATTTGAAATCTCAAAAAGGGATATTGCAACTATAGTGCTTCTCTGAACCATGCAACATATGGAATACTTAATTACAGGAAGAAAATTATATGTTCCAGCCGAGAGAGTAACCTAATCAATACTGTTTACACTCAACTCTAATTCACTTGTCCTACAACTCATTAAGTTTGAGATGTTATTGATTATTTTCCCCTCCCCCCGCAACCTCCTCCCAGTAGATGGCTCAGTGGCTAAATAAGAGCATTTATATATATATGAGATCTTGGATTGAGTTTGATCCATAAACCTTCATCACATGAGTTTGGTGGGTTTTATAGGAGGCCCATGGCAAAACTGAGAAGAGAACTCATCCAGAGCAAAAATAAAATAAAATAAATGCCAGGACTAGAGCCAGGCATAGGCAAAGTCGGCCCTCCAAATGTTTTGGGACTAGAACTCCCATCATCCTGGACCACTGGTCCTGTTAGCTAGGGATGATGGGAGTTGTAGTCCCAAAACATCTGGAGGGCCGATTTTGCCTATGCCTGGACTAAACCTGCCCTTGGCCTTCTGAGAGGAAGACCAGGATAGAGCGTGAAGTGAACTGTGAATTCATTTTAATTATGTTGCTCAGCTTTTCTGTTTCCAGCTTCACCTGCTATGGCTTTTGTCCATTGACCGAGACACAAATAATACAGTAAGCCTCAAGCCGTTAAACCTTGTTTTGTGAGGTAAAGTTGGTGCCAAGAAAGAGAGGCACTACAGCGTCGCAACCCCAAACCTCACCTACACTGTAGGCGACTTTCTTTCCCCTGCCAATTATGGATGATCATTTTGCCTTTTAGCATTACTAAAATGATTTTGGAGAAGAAGAAGAAGAAGAAGAAGAAGAAGAAGAAGAAGAAGAAGAAGAAGAAGAAGAAGAAGAACACACACCAGAAACTCAAACAAGCCACAGTTTCAATCCCCTGCTAGAGATTAGGCTCAAAACCCCCAGGTTTAAATGCTAAGAAGTTGCTATGGCAGCAAATTCAGCAGTTTCTGTATAAGGAGGCCAGGCTGCTAAATGCATCCTCAGCATCTTTGCAAAATGACAGCTTCCAGGATTCCTTGGCTAGGAGAGCCAGAATAACAATTAAATCAGGGCGCATCTTTACGGGAGACAAATGGTTCTCATGGAGAAGCTGTTTTCAGTGGAGTCCAGCAATAGAAGCATGCAGCTGCATTGAGGCAGGACCGGGTGTTGACATTTTGCACCCCTAACAATTTTGTGTCTGGGGCAACCGCCGTGCCAGACAGGTTCCAATTATTTCAATAGCTACACAATAAGTAGAAATTCAGATTCCTCCATCACCGTATCACCATGCTAGAGAAAGTTGCCTTTGTTTGCATTCTGTCCTTTGTGAAATGTTTTAAGGCACAGGAGTTCTACCAGAAAAGAAAAGGAAAACTAACTTCACATACCACTTTGCCTTCAGTGCTGGTTCTACTGCTGACCTCGGTCATTCGCACTGCAGGCAGGGGAGAATGTGGTCTCTACAATCTCCACAGCAGGACCTCACATTCAACCTTCATGATTTGAGATTTTTCAGGCACTTCTTTTGTTCTTTCTGAAGGAGAGAAATGGAAGCTACTATAGGATCCACTTTTAAAAATCATGAAATATGAGAATTGCTACCCAGAAAGAGAATGATGGATGACCCATCAGGAATGATTAAAAAACAGCAAAAAAGAGGGCATGAGTTAACAGATAAGCTGTCTATGGTTATGATTATGACTATGATATTCATTATCATTATTAAGAGATATAGAGAAGCAGCCTGGCAGAGTTTTCAGGAACAAGGAACAAGCAAGAAAATCGCAAGGAAATTATGAGGCTCTCTAGATGTCATTTTTATTGTGTACCCAACGGCGATTTGTACTAATGATGGTATCAGGGCGGTTAGACATGATCCCACATAAGCATAGAAAAGTTCCAGAGATAATTAAAATGTTTATAGTAATAAAAATAATTTCTGTGTGGGTAATTTTACTTCTGGAACTCTTCTATTCTTAATGTGTCATATCTATCTATCTATCTATCTATCTATCTATCTATCTATCTATCATCTATCTATCTATCATCTATCCAGTGGTACCTCGAGTTACATACACTTTAGGTTACATACGCTTCAGGATACAGACTCCGCTAACCCAGAAATAGTGCTTCATGTTAAGAACTTTGCTTCAGGATGAGAACACAAATCGTGCTCCGGCAGCATGGCGGCAGCGGGAGGGCCCATTAGCTTAAGTGGTGCTTCAGGTTAAGCACAGTTTCAGGTTAAGAACGGACCTCAAGAATGAATTAAGTACTTAACCTGAGGTACCACTGTATGATGATGTTGTTGTTGTTGTTTAGTCGTTTAGTCGTGTCCGACTCTTTGTGACCCCATGGACCAGAGCACGCCAGGCACTCCTGTCTTCCACTGCCTCCTGCAGTTTGGTCAAACTCATGCTGGTAGCTTCGAGAACACTATCCAACCATCTTGTCCTCTGTCGTCCCCTTCTCCTTGTGCCCTCCATCTTTCCCAGCATCAGGGTCTTTTCCAGGGAGTCTTCTCTTCTCATGAGGTGGCCAAAGTATTGGAGCCTCAGCTTCACGATCTGTCCTTCCAGTGAGCACTCAGGGCTGATTTCCTTCAGAATGGATCGGTTTGATCTTCTTGCAATCCATGGGACTCTCAAGAGTCTCCTCCAGCACCATAATTCAAAAGCATCAATTCTTCGGCGATCAGCCTTCTTTATGGTCCAGCTCTCACTTCCATACATCACTACTGGGAAAACCATAGCTTTTACTATACGGACCTTTGTTGGCAAGGTGATGGCTCTGCTTTTTAAGATGCTGTCTAGGTTTTACATATATGTGTGTGTGTGTGTGTGTGTGTATAGATGTATATAGAGATGTATACAGAGATATATAAAGCAAATAACCTGAAACAAGCACAAATGAGCTACGGTTATATTATTGATTTCTAAAAATGGTCCTATAAACGCTCGGTGTTTTTCTCTTTTTCCTTTCATAATATAGCCATGCATCTTCTTTCTCTCTCCTTTTTCTTTTAATCTTGCCACTCAGTATTGAGCTCCTCACAATGACTTCTAGATTTTCCCCCCACTCAGTTGTGAGCGGCATATTGAGAACCTGTCAATTTGTATGAATATTTCCCCAAATTATCCTTTCCATTTCCACACACTTGCCCGTATTGATTTTTTCTTTTTTCTTTTTTGGGTCCGCTATTATGTTACACACTTGCCTACTTATTTGGAAGCTTTGTTGACTGACCACTTCTTTTCTCTCCTCTAACTTTTTTTTTCCAAAAAAGACGGAGAGCTAAAAGAGCGCTCAGTTGGCTTTCATTGCACCATTGCTTTTGTATGACTTTATTATATGCTTTCCCAATCTTTTATTTCCCCCCCTCCAAGGACCCTGCTGAGAAATTGGATCTCCATGGGAACACCTCTACCTGCGGTGAAGACTACCTCAGACATCACAGAGCAGCAAAGAGAGCAAAGAATCCCGTATAGTATAACAGATTGCCTAAATTGCCCCAGTCTTATTATTCACTCTTTTCTCTCTCTCCATAATTTCTTCCTGTACCACGTTGGATCCTGTTCAACTATCACTCCAAGCACACAATCACACAGACCGCTTTTAAGCACAATGTTCCTGTTGATACACTGAGGGGAGAAATGTTAATCCAGTTTCGTAACTGCTTCATGCAGGCACCCAGAACTGTGGAGCTCAAGCTCCAAATATTGTCCAAGGGGAAGAGATATATTGAGCATTGCTTTGTTTTGTTCTAAACTCTTTCAGTGTTAGCCTTAAGAAATAGTTGGCTCACATTTTCCTTTGCTATCAGAAATGGACCTTTTCAAAGGCGGCGCAGAGGGAAAGGGAGAGTGGGAGAGAGAGGGAGGAGAGGGGGGAGGGAGGGAGGAAAAGAAAGAAGAAAGAAAGAAAGAAAGAAAGAAAGAAAGAAAGAAAGAAAGAAAGAAAGAAAGAAAGAAAGAAAGAAAGAAAGACAGTATCCAATGAAGTGGGATAAAGTACCAAAAAAAGATTGTAAAAGGCACTGTTTGCCTGGACAGGCAGAGTCCCCCCAACCCCAGGCGACTGCTGAGTGGAATAATGACTCAAGACAGCATGCTATGGGATTAAAATTGGCCACAACTTTATTAAGTTTCAAATGTAGGGAGACCTTGGTCAGGCATTGGGCGTTTATCCTTCCTAGTCCCCAGCCGGGGATCTGGGAGACTTCAGGATTATCCAGAATGTGTGGGGATTGGGCTGGCTCTGGAGAACATACAGTATGTTCAAGCAGAGAGCCCGTCCCCCGTTTTGCAGCCGTTGGAGGAGAGAGCAATGACAACCTTCTGGCATAAGGCAAATGCCTCCCCTCAAGACCCCTTTAACAGGGAACCCTGGTATCCCTGCTGCAAGGGGTCACCACTTCATGCCCCCCCCCCCATGTAGGAAGATAGACTAAAGGATTCCGCCCAAGGCCTGAAACCGCCAGAGTTGTGACGTTTTGCTACGGAAAGGCAAAACCTGCCAATGCAGGGAAATTCCTTTCAGGCCCTTCAACAGCGACCCTGACGTAGCAGCGCCTGCATACCTGTGGAGAAGAGGTCAACCTGCAAAAGAAGACTTAACTGAGGGAGGGGAGGGTGGAGCCGACTGGAGCCAATTGCCGCTTTGCAGGTAAGATTCACCTTCTGTTGTGTGGGCAGGGTGGTCCTTCCCCTTACCTGGCCAATCCGATAGCAACACCTCCCCAGGAGGGATTGGGTGATTGGCTGAGGTAGGCAGAGACCTCCAGGTATCCAGCCTGGGGAGGATGAA